GGTACCACCAGCCAGGACCTGCTAAGGCCCCTCTTAGAGAAAATCAGCCGCAAGGGGAACTCAGAGGCCTGGGGTATGAGAGCGGCTGCCCGGGCTAGGCTTGCAGATGGCCTTTCCTGAAGGGTCCTTCTGCTCAGGGTCTCATGTTGGCTGGTACAGTCCTCCCTTCTTGTCCCTTTTATACACCAGCCTCTGAGTCCTGCCTTAAATGGCGAGCCAAAGAAAAATGTGGAAATGCCAGGAAAGTAAGTTTATAAATTTGTACATCAACATTTGCAATATTTTGTAACTTAAGGGACCAGATCTATTATCAAGTATATTTCTTTTTGAAACTTGAAGCCATCTACAGTAACATTAACATATTCATGTGTTAGAGAAACAGGTTACATATTGGAATTGAAATCAATCTCTTAAGAGGATAAAAGAAAGGAACTGGAATAGTAACAAACACATTTTTTACGTTAAACACTCCAGCAATCAAAGTTAATAAGAAAAGGCTAACACTTGTTAGATACATCACTGTAACACAGAAGTAATATCACCTGTGGCGCTACTATTAGGAAATAGCAGGTACTTTGTGACTTGGGGATTTCTTACGCAGGGCTCAAAAAATAAACTTAAGGAGAAGAATGGTGGACTTGACCGCAGGAAAATGAGAGATTTCTGTAACGGAGCTGGCAGTCTGCGAGAAGTACCGGTAGCCTCTCAAGTCAAAAGAGATAAATATCTAGAACGAATAATGACCTCCTGCAAATCAGGAAAAAAAAAAAAAAAAGGACAGCCCAATAGAACAAATAAAACACAAAAAACAAAGCAACAAAACCCCCCACAACAAAACCAGAACAGGCAACCCACAAAGCAAAACCTGTGTCCTGGGACCAAAAAGTAAATAAAAGGCACCCGATGCCCCATCTCACAATCAATCAAAAACTGATAGTAAAAATACCACCAAGATGTCACTTGACATCCATCAGAATGAGAAACCTAAGAAGTCAGATAACACCAATTTACCTCATGCTTGGGAGGAAGCTGAGACCTGGGGACGTGTCCAAACACCCTGCCACCCACACTCGCGCCCAGGGCCATACTCAGCTGTACCCTCCATATCCCAGAGACCTGCAAGAGGACCCGAGTCACACTGCCAGGAAAAGCAAGGGTTTCACAATGTCTTGTGGATGCTACAAACACGATGCTGCGTAGTTTCCACAAATTTCAGGACCCGAACGCACATCTGGATGGTGGGCTGGGAAGACCTCGATTAAATGTCAAGAAAACCACGAGTGATGTGGGGTTGGGGTGGAGGGATTGGAGACACACCAGAGTAGGCAGGGATGATGCAAGTTAAGACCCTAAAGTGCTGGTGCTCAAATCAAACAGAGGAAAGGGGTGAAAACACCTAACCTGGAGCTTTCCTTTGTTCTGAAAGAGTCAGCCAAACCATTTCTGACTTACTTGGGAACCCACACAGCTCTCAAGAGAATAATAAGCCTGACTGATTTGAGATTCACAGGGCAAGTACTAAGGAAAACGGTCTGAAGTTATTTCTCTTTACAAGCAAGTGGGCGGGTGCTAGTGAGCTGAAGTCAGCAGCCGCTCCACGTGACGCATCACGCTGGGTACAGATCATGGGCGCGCCGAGCATGGCTGTGAACTGAGCAGCCTTGCGCACAGGCTGCTCTGATGATCACTCACCTGCAAGCCAGACTGAGTAGCCCTTCTCTGCTGGGGAAGCGGTTGCAGTGCTTCCGAACATCCAGGCATCCTCTAACAACTCGATCTTCTTGCTGAACTGCACTTCCAAAATGGGGATAACCTCTGGCATCTTGGCAGATATCAGACGATAAGCTATGTCTGGCTTCCCAATGAATCGCTGGCGGATGCTGACTTCATAAGGTGTGTGAACCTTGATGTCATCTACATCTTCTCTTTCAAATCTGTGCATGAGCAAGGAGTCTGAGTCGTGGATTTCCAACCCAGAAACAAGGACGGTGAACTTTCCTGGTTTAACCCGAGATTCTGTTCTTTGGGAAATAACAGCAGGAATTCTGATCACTATCCCTTCTTTTCCAAAAGCTTTGGAACTAGCCACGGAGGCGCCCGCGCTGGGTTTTGTTTCTGATGGCACCTTCCAAAGCCTGGAGCTAAAGGGCCACCAAGAAGGAGATTCCAGCTCTGTCAGCAACCTAAAAAAGCAAACGAAACATAGAAACTAGGCAATCAGTTGTTATTTATTTTTTTGAAAATTGCTTTGACTTTTATAAAGAATGTTACCATTTTCTAGTTTTCTTTTTCACAAACACTCTTTTCCACCTCAGAAAGAGCAGAAATTATCATCCCTGTGCTTTAGAGAAGAAAACTAAGGCCAAGAGCAGTGGGACGTTTTGCCTGTAGATACACAGCTAATCTGAACTGCAGACACACAACTGAAACACACAGCTTCTGACTAGAATGTTGCTCTTTTCTCACTTGATCTGGGGTAATTCTGGCCAGAATAAATCTTGGTCTTAGTCTCTACAGAACTGTCTAATAGCACTTTCTGCAGTAATTTGTATTGCCTAATACAGTAATGGGGCAGGTGGCTACTGAGCACCTGAAATGCAGCTGCTGCAATGATGAACTGAGTTTCAAACTTAATTTTAATGTGGCTAGTGGCTACCATATTGGACAGCACAACTCTAACCCCTAATAGCATCAAGAAATACTATCTAAAAAGCCAATGAAAGAGGAAAAAGTAGAAGCAGGAAAGGAAAAGCAAAGGAGTAAAGATCAAAGGGAATAAACAGAAAACAAGAAACAAGAATGTGGAATTGTTTCAACCGTATTAGTCAAACTAAATGTAAGTGGTCTAAATTCTCTAATTAAAAGGCAGATTGTGAGTCTGGGTAAAGAAGCAAGACACAGCTATATCCTGTTTACAAGAAACAATGTGAAATACAAAGACACAGATACACTGAAAGGAAGGGAATTGGAGAAAAGACATGCGAAAAGTAAACATTAAGACATGGGGCGTTACTGGGGACAAAGAGGGACAATGCTTAATAATAAGAGGATCAATCTAAAAGAAAATTTACTGATAGTAAATACGTATGTATCCAATAACAGAACTCCAAAATTCATTAGCAAAAACTGGCAAAACTAAAAAAAAGAGATAATCATCATTGTAGATTTTAATAAATTTCTCTCCATGATTCATACATCAGAAGATAAAATTACTACAAATATAGAAATTTTAACCAACCCTATTTAACCAACTCAACCTGACTGATATTTACAGAAAACATCATCCAAATGGTGAATGTGCACTCTTTTAAGTGTATTCAGAACACAAACAATAACAACAAAGAGTGTAAAAGAGTGGACAAGATGGGAGAGTAGTGAGACCCTGAGCTCACCTCCTCCCACGGGCACACCAAAATTACAACTATTTACAGAGCAACTATCCTGCTGAGAAGGAACTGAAGACTAGCAGAGGCGATTTTCCACAACTAAAGATATTAAGAAGGAACTACGATGAGATGGGTAGAAGGGGCAGAGAGGCACAGTATATTTTATGGCCCACATCTCCAGGTAGGCAACATACAAACGGGAGGATGATCACAACTGCAAAAGTTCTCCCCGAGGAGTGAGGGGCCCAGACCCCACACCAGGATCCCCAGCCCAAGGGTACTACACTGGAAGATGAGCCCCTATAATGTCTGACTTTGAAGGCCAGTGGAATTTGTGTAAGAGAGAGCTGGAGGGCTGTAGCAAGCAGAAAGTCTGCCCTTAAACAACACAAGCAAAATCTCAGATGCTCCCAGACCCAGCACAGAGGGAGTAATTTGAAAGGAGCCTAGGTCAGACCCACTTTTTGAACTTGGAGAAGCCTGACAGAGAGGTGTGAGGCCAGCAGAACTCCCCCTGGGGACACAGGTATGGGTGGCAGCCATTGATGGGAGCCTGTTCTCCCACCCTGGAGGGCACTGGTGCTGGCAAGGGCCGTTCTGGAGTCGAGACTATCTGCACCGGGACCAGGCCCCATCCACCAGCAGGCTGGCAGCAGTCCCTGGGCACCCTGTACGGAGCAGCCAGTCCCATGGGGAAACAACTCTGCCTGCCACCCCCAGACCCATGGCCCTGTAGCCAGCCACATAAGGACCTGGCACTGCTCACCAACAGATGGGCCAGCCCTGGGACCCCAGGTCCTACAGCCAGCCACACTGAGACTGGTCCTGCCCACAGGCAGGCCGACATCAGCCCCAGGAGTTCTAAGGCCCTTGCTCCACACACTAGCAGGCCAGCACCAGCCCTGGGACTTGCTGGCACCTACAGCCAACAGTCCCAGGACCCCCCAGGCCCAAAGCCAACTGCACAGTGAGTGGGTTACCCACCAGCAGGCTGAGACAAGCCCTAGGAACCCCTGGGGCCACTCAGTCGGCAGCTCTGGGACCCAGACTTGCCCATGAGTGGCCAGCAGGCTCTGCATAAGGCAAGGCTTGGCAGCAGCTAACTGGGCAAAGACCAGCCCTTCCTGCCTGCACACCCACAGCAGCTGGCCCGGCCATGACACAAGAACCCGCTCACATGATGAGGGGGGCACCCCTAGATTATGTAACTCAGGTGACCAGAGCGGGGTGTGCTGCTGGGCACCAAACAATGTCTCCCACACAAGCCTAGTTCTCCAAGATCAGAAAACATAACCGATCTACTTAATTCATAGAAATAAACACAGAGAATTAGGCAAAAGGAGGCAAGAGAGGAATATATTCCAAACGAAGGGAAAGATAAAATCCCAGGAGAAGAACTCAGTGAAGTGGAGATAGCAATCTCCTCAGTAAAGAGTTCAAGGTAATGATCACAAAGAAGTTCAGCAAACTCAGGGAAAGAATGAATGATCATAGCAAGGAGTTTAAAAAGATTTAGAAAATATAAAGAAGAACCAAACAGAGATGAAGAATTCAGTAAGTGAAATTTGAAAATATACTAGGAGGAACCAACAGTAGAACAGATGATACAGAGGAACAGATCAGAGATCTGGAAGACAGAGTAGCTGAAGTCACCCAAGCTGAACAGAAAAAAAAAGAAATTTTAAAAAAGCAAGGGCAGTTTAAGATACCTCTAGTCTTATACCACAACACTGTGAGACTAGAAATCAAGTATAAGAAAAAAAAAACTGCAAAAAACACAAGCACATGGAGGCCAAACAGAACGCTACTGAAAACAAATGGGTTACAGGAGAAATTAAAGAAGAAATTAAAAAATGCTTGGAGACAAAAGGAAACAAAAACACAACAACCCAAAATCTATAGGATGCAGCAAAAGCAGTGCTAGGAGGGAAATTTATAGAGATACAGGCCACTTCAGGAAACAAGAAAAAGCTCAAGAGAATAACCTAACTTTACACTTGAAGGAAGGAGAAAATGAAGAACAAACAAAACCCAAAGTTAGAAGGAAAGAAGTCATAAAGATCAGAGTGGAAATTAATGAAACAGAGACAACAACAAAAAAACACACAATAGAAAAGGTCAATGAAACTAAGAGCTGGTTCTTTGAAAAGATAAAATTGATAAACCTTTAGCCAGACTCATCAAGAAAAAAAGGAGAGGACCCAAATAGATAAAAACAGAAATGAAAAAGGGGAGGTTACAATTGAGACCACAGAAATGCACAGAATCATGGGAGATTACTACAAAAAATCATATGCCAATAAGATGGACAATCCAGAAGAAATGGATAAATTCCTAGAAACATACACTCTTCCAAGACTGAGTCAGGAAGAAATACAAAATATAACCAGATCAATTACCACTAATGAAACTGAATCATTAAAAATAAACAAACAAAAACCCCAAAAAACTCCCAACAAACAAAAGTCCAGGACCAGACGGCTTCGAGGTAAATTCTACAGAACATTTAACGAAGAGTTAAAGCCCATCCTTCTCAAAGTATTCAAAACGTTAAAAAGGAAAAAATGCTTCCCACCTCATTCTACAAGCCCAGCATCACTTGATACAAACCAAACAGATGCTTCAAAACAAGAAAACTACAGGCCAGTATCACTGAGGAACAGAGATGTAAAAATCCTCCACAAGATACATTCAGAGCAAACTTAACAACACACTGAAAGGACCAAACTCCGTGATCAGCTGGGATTTACCCAGGGATGCAAGATGGCTTGATATCCACAAACCAGTCACTGTGCTGCACCACATTAACAAATCAAAGACCAAAACTTGTACGAGCATCTCAACAGATGCAGAAAAAGCTTTTGACAAAATTCATCATCTATTTACGATAAAAACACTCAACAAAGTGGGTATCGAGGAAACATACCTCAACGTAATAAAGACCACGTAAGACAAACCTACAGCCAACATCGCACTCGGCAGTGACAGGCTAAGTGCATTTCCTCTAGGATCAGGAACAAGACAAGGATGCCTGCTCTTGGCACTTCTCTTCTTTGAAGAAGTGCGTTCTTTTTCTGTTTACCATATCTGGGATTGAGTCCTGAAGAAGCCATAACCCTGGATAAGCAGACAAAAATAAATACATAAAAGGAAGGCTACTCTCTCTACCCTATAGACAAGGGGAAACCTGCTGAGAGAGAACTTTCAGTCAATAACAGCTCTACTCCAGCCAAACTCCCCCCAGAGAAGTGCAGCCCACTACTGCCTTCATCAGCAAACACCACAGAGGAGCCTCGACATGGACACTCACCCAGCTGCCCTCAGGCTATGTCCTTCCCCCTAACTGGGGCAGAGTCAGAGAAGGCCATGTGAATGGCCTAGATGCCCACCCGCACCTAGCTGCGCTGAGGGGAACGTCTCTCAACTAGCGTGGTGTCAGAGGAGGCCATGCGAGGGGCCAGCAGTATAAGGGAAATCTTACAAGACAGTAGAGGCCAAGAGGGGATGGTGACAAGACAGTTCTCATCCTCCCAGTTAGGGCAGTGTTGGCAGAGGCAGATGGGGAAGCCTGAAATTCCACCCCTAGTCAGTAGTAGCAAATATCTTTCCCAACTCAAGGCATAAATGAGGGCCAGGTGGACAATCTGGATTCTCATTCCCACGTGACAGGAAAAACAATTAGCTTCTAATTCCCA